TGGATACAGCAGGAAGCAGGATTGGAAAATAGAAGATTGAAGATGGTGGTTTGGTTTGATTTGATTGGCAGAGGCAGAGAGGTGGTGGTGGCTGGTTGGGTAGGTAAAGAGGGGAAAAGTAAGGGTTTGTCAAAATTTCGGACAATAGTTGTTATACAGGAGTCTGCTGTCAAGGGCACAGATAGGAGATTCTGCGACAATAACCGTGAATGTAGAATCGTATGTTGCTTTCCTGGTGCCAGGATTAAGGAAGTCTCAAAACGTTTGATACATATTGTTATTGGGGAGCGTGTGAAACTGGAAGTTATCATACACATTGGTAGGAATTACATAGTTAAGGAAAAGGTTAAGGCTTTACAGAACAAATACGAGGGGTTAGGTCGAAGATTAAAACAAACAGAACTTCAAAAAGTAGCAATCTCTGACTCACTGCCAGTGTCAAGCTTGAATGAGGGAAAGAACAAAAAGGATAAAAGGAGATAAATCAATGGCTGAGGAGGTGGTATAATGTTCAGGGATTCAGGTTCTTGGACCATTGGGATCTCTTCTGGGGCAGAAAGACCTGTTTAAAAAGGACGGGTTTTACCTGTACTGGAAAGGGACCAATATCTTAGCAGGAAGATTTCTTAATTCTATTAAAGGAGACTGTAAGCTAATTTGCCAGGGTGGGGCGGGGACAACAGAATTTTATTTAGCAGAGTAATTAGAAAAATAGATGAGGAAGGTGCATGAAATCAGGGCATGTTTGGGAAAATGGGATTGGGACATCAATGCTATGACAGAAACTTGGCAAGTCCTGCCAAGGTGATTTTACAAGAGGGAAGGGCCCCTTAAGATCAAAGAGGTCATCTTTGTGTTGAACCTCAAGAGGCAGGAGAGATGTTAAATGAATACTTCATGTCCATTTTTGCTGTAAAGAAAGAAGCGGAGGCTGAAAAACTCAGGGAAACAAATACTGATGTTTAGAAAATGTCTCAAATTACAGAAGAGGAAGTGCTAGAGGTCTTAGATAAGATATAGTTGGAGAAATCGCCAAAATCTGATCTAGTGTATCCCAGGATGTTGTGGGAAGTTAGGGAGGAAATTACAGGTCTTGCAGAAATATTTGCACTATAACTACACAGAATAGAACCCCGACGGTGTGGAGGCAGGCCATTCAGCCCACATTGACCTCTCCAAAGAGCATCCCACCCAGACTCACCCTATCCCTAAAACCCTGCATTTCTCATGGCTAATCCAACTAGCCTGCACATTTCTGGACTTTACACATCAGGTGCCAGATGACTGGAAGTGACTAATGTTGTGCTTTTGTTTAAGAAGGGATGTGAGGAGAAGCCTGGGAACTATAGACCCAAGAGTCTGACTGCAGTGGTAGCTGAGTTATTGGATTCTGAAAGATAAGATTTATATGCATTTGGAGAAACAAGGAATGATTAGGGATAGTCAGCATGGTTGTGTGCAAGAGAAATCCTTGTCTCATAAACTTGATGTGTTTTCGGAGGAAGTAACCAAGATGATTGATGAGGGCCAAGCAGGACACATGATTGACTTGGATTTTAGTAAAGCCTTTGACAAGGTTCTGCATGGTAGACTAATTAGTGAAGTTAGATCACATGGGATTCAGGGTGAGTTTGCCAATTAGATACAGAAGCAGCTAAACGACAGGAAACAGAGGGATGGTGATTTTTGGACTGGAGGCCTGTGACCAGCAGTGTTCCACATGTATCGGTGCTGGGTCCACCTTTGTTTGTCATTATATGAATGATTTAGATGAGAATTTAGGAGGTATGATTAGTAAGTTCGCAGATGACACCAAAATTGGTGCTAGAGAGGTGAGTGAAGAAGGTTATCCAAGACAACAAAGAAATTATTGATCAATTGGGTCAATGGCCTGAAGAGTGGCAGATGGAGTTTACTTTGGATAAGTGCAAAGTATTGCATTTTGGTAAAACAAAGGCAGAACTTATACAATTAAAAGGAAGGTCCTGGGTAGTGTTGTAGAACTCAGACACCTAAGGGTTTCAGATACAAAATTCTTTGAAGTTTGCATCACATATAAATAGCAAGATTAAGAAGGTGTTTAGCAAGTTTGCCTTCATTGCTCAGACCTTTGCGTGCAGGAGTTGGGACGTCATGTTGAGGTTCCACAAGACGCTGGTGAGACCTCTTCTGGAGTACTGTGTCCAGTTCAGGACGCCCAGTTATAGGAAGGATTTTAAATTGAAGAGGGCTCAGAAAAGATTTAGCAGTACGTTGCCAGGAATGGAGGGTTTATGTTATAAGGAGAGGCTGAGTAGGCTGGGACTTTTTCCACTGAAGCTTGGAAGATTGAGGTGTGACCTTAGACATTTATAAAATCAAGGACATAGATAATGTGAATGGCAGGTGTCCTTTCCCCAAGGTGGGGGGGTTCAAAACTAGGGGACATATTTTTAAGGTGAAAGTTTTAAAAAAGGACTGAGGGACAAGCTTTTTTGTTTTACACAGTGGTTCATGTGGGAAAGAATTTCCAGAGGAAGGGTGGATGCGGGTAGACATTTAGACATGAATAAATATTTGGAGGAATGTGGACCAAGACCAGGCAGGTGGAACGAGTTTAGTTTGGGATTACGGTTGGGATGGACTGGTTGAACCAAAGGGTCTGTGTGACTGACTCTTTAATAATTAATAATTATCAATTATTAATATGACCATCAGAATTCTAAGATGGCAAGAAAAAGTGGGTGGCTATGATAACAAATGGAAAATTTGTATGAAGGGAGACATTGAAGGAGAACAAGTGGGCAGTAAATTCAAAGGAGACACCAAGTTCTTCAGTGTTGAGGGAGGAATCTGGCAGACCTTCTATTAGGGAATGAGCCTGGTCAGCTGATTGAAGTTTCAGTGGGTGAGCACTTTGGGAACAGTTACCTTAAGTCTAAGTTTTAAAGTTACTTGTGGATAAGGATAAGACTAGTTCTTGGTGAAAGTACTAAATTGAGAGAAGGCTAACTATGACAATATTAGGCAGAAACTGGGAAATTGGGTGTGGCTGTTTGAGGATAAGTCCACATCCGGCAATCTGTTAGAACTGAATGCGCATTGAATATTTATTCATGTTAACTCTAATAACAGGGGCATCTTGACAGATATATGAATAGGCAGGGAATAGCAGGAGATAGACGGTATAGTGGCAGAGTTTTTAGTTTGACAACGCAGGCTTGGTGGGACAGTGGGTCAGTTCTTGTACTGTACTGTTCTTTGAAATCAGTTATGATAAAATCAGTGAGGACAACTTTATTTGTATTTTTCTTTTACAGAGAAGAATGCCGATTTTGAAAGTGACAAGTCAGATGAATGCTGAAAGGTAGTGGCGATCAGACTAAAGCATGACCTGGTGAGAAGCAACATGGATCATGACAATCCTGGGAAGGCAACTGAAGATATAGATGAGGCTTCATTAAATGTCAAAGGTGTCATGATCAACCCTCAACCAGATTTCCATCAATGCCAAAATATTTATGTAATTAATCACAAATTCATGGATGGCAAGGGCCTTATGCACAAGTGAACAGACATTTTACACAAAACTGCATAGAGGAATGTTGACAGCTGATCCAATGGAGGAGTCTGCTGTGGCATGGTAAATTGGAGGTACAATCTTAGCAAGGTGAGCAGGCATACTGGGCAGGAAGGTGACAGGAAATGAGGAGACAACTACGGCTGCTGCACATAATAAGCCAGCGCTTCATGCTGAGAGGTGCAAAGATGTAGGCTTGTCTAACAGGGATTCAAACATGGAATGGCAGCCAGAGACCAGGAAGGTCAAGGAGTACTGGTGGGATGGGGAAGCAATTGGGAGGACAGAGTACCAGAGAGAGAAGTGAAAGGAGGTATGAAGATAAAAGAATGGAATCTTCGAATGGTAAAGGTAGAACAAGAAAATGTGGAAACAGATCAACGGATTCAGGTCTGGAGTGGCAACGAAGATGCATGCAAGAACGATCTCTGATACAGCTCAAGTTCAAAGATCAGATTACATAAAAACCTGATTACAAACAATAGAATTTGAATTGAAATGACTGCTGTGTTTCCTGCATTAGTTAGATCACAAGATTATTGCAGTGTCGTAGTTTTAAATAACAGTCAAAAATTCTATTGCTATAGGCATTTTGCAAGGAATTATTGGACTACTGTATCTTAGTAATCTCCAATGAAGTGGTAAATAAGATACTTGACCAGTCAGGCCACTGTTTTAACCTTTGAACATTGCAAAGTGCTGGAAAGAGATCTGCATTTTTCCATTGTTACACTACAATGTTGTATTTCAGACTTTACAAGTCAGCCTGCACTCCGAATAAATACAACAATCTTCCGAAACCAACATTAGCCTAGAATTTGTGGGACAAATCCATACATGCAACAGGAATTCACTTTTCAGGAGATTTACCCAACGTACCAGGCTTGCACCTTTGAAGAGGTGGTTCACAGCAGGACAATTTGCAAGAATACTAATTCAGGGCGAAAACCAATATTTCTACTGCACAAGAGGAGAAGAGCGATGATTGATTGGCAAGCAGACTGTAATCTGTATTATCATAAAGAATAATTTTTAATTGATGCATGCTCCATGATAATATGCCTACCGACCACAGTCCATTTGCCAGCCAATCAGCATTTCCCTCTCATGGAGTATAATGTTGGTTTTCCTCTTCAATTGTTATTTCTTGCAAATGTCCATACATGATGAAAAGCTTCAACAAAACATCTTTTTTCTGCAATATTCCTGCAGCTATACTACCAAATGACTAAAAATATAGTTCTCATACTCTGCATCAGTGGAAGCTGCAGTAAATAGTCTCATTATAAAAAAATTCAGACAGGTTGAAGCAGCCAAAAGTACTGAGGAACTAAAAGTTAGTTGTGCTGTTTTGACAGGGAGATCCACCAGTACTGAACCCCTGTTTTACCAAGTGGTAACAGAAGAAGAATTGCCTCGCAGTGGAAAGTAATTTACATACTGTTTTGGTGCTGGAATCATAGGCTCGCTGATGTTTGAATTCAGAGGGACACCAGTAAAGCCAGGAGGGGGTTTACTAACAGGGGCAGTCAATCCTGGTGGAGGAGGAAGATTGGATGGTGGGCTCTTCACTGGTAATAAGTTGTTAAAACCTGGATAAAAAATAAATTCAGAATTAAATGTCTAAAATTTGCTCAAACTTTAAATTGTTTACAAAAAACCAGATACCTTAGTGACCATTACAATTTAGCATTATCAAAAGTGAAGCATTCATTAGCTCACTACACTGAACCACAATCACAGAGCCTCAAATTTCACATTTACCTCTGCAGTGTTTAAGCCCCATCTGCTTTGTCAGAAACTTTTATTTCCATGCAGTTCTTTAGCTGCCAAATATTGATTTAAGCACTTACCCATTCTCCAGCACACAATCCTTAGAATCTCTTGTCCATAAAGAGATGGCTCCAATTTCACTAGAAGCATTTAGTTCTTACTGATAAAATTTCAGTGACCCAAGTTTTAAAATGGCTGAAGGTTACATACAGTGTCAGAAATATCCATGTCAAACCTGAAACACATTTTAAAACAACGCAGTGCACTGTTCAAATGATGGCAGACTTGAAGCCTTGCTATATCTTGTGACATGTCTAGCATAGAGCTGTCAACAGCAAGGTAGATAGTTTAAACAACCTTCCAATCTACTAAAGATTTTGATGCTATTCAGCATTACTAGTTGAAGGTGTGGTCACAAATACCACTGGTTGTTTCAAACTCTGCACTGGCAGTGAGCATCATGTTCAGACTCCCACAACAGTCAATTTTATTGAAGCACAGATTTTTGAACCATTTCTTCATATTATAAGGCAATACAATGTCCACCAACGCCACTGGAAAACAACCCATGTTGTTTCATTTTAATGAATCAGTCTGAACTGCCAGTATGTAGGCAAACACAGCAACCATTTTAATCAACATGAAGTTGCACGTTAATGAAACGAATGACAAATTCACTCTTACATTTGGTCATTTGAAAGAGAGTATGGGGAAAATGATTACCATACAGGAGAACTCTCAACTGAACTGCCATTCAAAAGGGAAACAAAACAGCATGGATTAATACTTCAGTGGAAAGCAAATAAACCATTTCTTTAGCATCCTCATTGGAATGGCACCTAGATCGTATACCAAAATTCTTTGGGATTCAAACCCACAACTAATGAACTCAAAACAAAGCTGTAACCATATCACCCAAAGTCCAAGCAAATTGTTTAACAAGTCAACCATCACTGTAGGATCATACAAAAACTTTTATAAAAAAAAACTTGGAACCAACAGTAGCAGATTGTCTCATGTCCGCCTCAAAAGTCAAAATAAATCCTTATTCTGACAAGTAGTTTCCTAGCTACAAAATCTGAAGCTTCTTCCATTCCCTTGAAGCTCTGAATTTCATCAATCAGTAATGATGAAATTAGAAAACTTGACTTCAAATTGCACTATGGCTGTTCGAGAATGTGTCAAAACCTAAAATAAGTGGGTCATTATAGCTGGTTGCAGCGTGTTACAAGGATCAGCATGGGTACCTGAACTATTTACAATCCACACCAACAAACTTGAACAAAGGGACTAAATGTACGGTTTGCTTAGTTTGACTATACAAAGATTGCTAGGAAAAAAAACGGTGCGGAGGGCACAAAAAGTTTACCAAGGGATATAGATTGGTTAAGAATGTGACAATGCTGTGGCTTTAAGGAGGTTATGTTGCCCTAAATTATTTTTAAAAAATGAGGTTTTATGGTAGAGGTACAGAGCTGTCTACTTGGAAAGTCAGTAAACAGGTTGAGGCACCTTGGGGTTACTTGTGAGACATACCTATTTTTCTGAATTTGCCTTTTTGCCAAGTGGTGTGTTTACGTTAAGTTACTAGACTGGAACAGCTAATTAGTAATAGTTATTGTATCAATTATTTGTTAAGTTTTCCAACAGAGTTGTTATTCTAAGTTCTTTCTTTTGTTTTATTCTAACTATAGTGTTTAAGTAAATCGTATTTTGCTTAACGTCGAGAAGTTTGATCAATTGAACTGCATCTGGAACACAGCATGTTACATTTGCCTGTAATATATGAAAAAGGTAGGGTCTAGGCTACCTTCTTGGAATATTTCAAGGTTGTCTGGTCTAGTCCATAACAAGTGAGTGAACAAAATTTAGCAGATGGAGTGCACTATGGGAAATTGTGAAGAAGTTCAATTTGGAAAGAATAGAAAAGCAGTATGTTATTTCAAAGGGGTTGCACAAGTTCTGCATTAGAATATTAGTGCCCTATATGAATCACAAAGATTAGCATTCAAGTCCGGCAAATGATTAGGAAAGCAAATGGAGTATTAGCAACTATTGCAAGTGGTATGGTGGAATGTAAGAGATAGTTTTGCTACAATTGTCTCTACTGATAAGGCCACTTCTGGAGCAATGTTTAAAGTTTCTGTCTGCTAATTGGAGTAAGGATATAACTGCATTTGAAGCAATTCAGAGAAGATTCACTTGACCGATTCCTGCAAAGGGCTTTTTATGAAGAAAGGTTGGATTAAATCGGGCCTTTACCTACCACACAGTCAAGGAGGATGAGAGGTGATTTTATTAAAATAAACAAGAGCCTGAGAGGTGGATGCTAAAAAGGATGTTTCCCTTGTGGGAGAGACTAAAACTAGGGGATAGCCTAAAAATGAGATTTCCCATTTAAAATGGAGATGAGATATTTTATCTTCGAGTGCCATCGGTTTGTGGAATATTTTTCCTCAGAACAATGAAGGCTGGGTCATCATTTTCTTTTCAGGCTGAGCTGAGCATGTCCTTGATTGAAAAGGGAGTCAAGGATAGAGAGCAGAGACTAGAAAGGGAAATTGAGTCCACAACCAAGTCAAATGGTGGAGCAAGCTGAAAATGCAATGGTGACAGGGAGTGTAGACAGGTTACTTAGTATTTGACAGGTGCAAATCAAAGAGGAGTCCAATGACAAAATGATCCTAAAGTACAAAAAGACCACAGGTTAGCAAGGCCATTAAAAAAAAAAGCTTTCAATCAAGATGGATATAACTGAATAAAATAGGAGATTACGTTAAACCCTAGCTCAACATCACTACAGCACACAGTCTGATCACTAGATTACAAAAATACAGATACAGGAGAGGGTACCAAAAGAACTTGAAAAGACGATACCAGAAATGCAAAAGGTAGACATGTGCATTTTTTTTAAAAAAAAAAAATGCAATCTGGTCTGATTTTCCAAAAACTTTTGAGGATGTCTTTAAAATGAAGAAAGGTTTTGATAAATAGATACAGAGAGAATGTTTCCTCTTGTGGCAAAGACCATAAAACTAGAAAACACCAGTCTAAGATAGTGACCAAAAAAATGTCTACAATGAATTTAGAACAAACCTCTTCATCCAAAGAATGCTGAGAATGTGGAGTGGGTGAAGTGCATAGTTTGGATACATTTAAGGGGAAGTAAAATAAATAAAGGGAATAGTGAATAGTTTATTACAATTAGTTTATATAGTGTTTATTAGTGGTCCTGTACTTTGTATCTTATGCAGTCCATTGCAAATGGTACCAGCATGTTTAATTTTCCTACAATGCATCAATTCTGACCAACACATCCCCAAATAAAGTTGTTAACCTTTGGCAGGGGCCTCCATTTTATAACACAAAGAATGGATGTAATCATTCAAGAGCACAAGCCGCTCTCAAGCTCTCTTGATCTTAAGTTTAAAAACAATGCTTAGAATGGCATCCTGGTCACGTTGACAAGGTGGGCCGAAGGGCCTGTTCTTCTGTCATACTGTCTATGTTCTAATGCTCTATAATAAATCATTCAAAATAATACCAAAAATAAATAATCATTTCAACTTCAATATATTTACACCTTAATACATATTTCAAATTAGTTTAGCACTTTAAAATTCATACCTGGAGGTGGCATTTTTGGTAAAACTGGATTCCCAAGTGCAGGAAAATCTTCTTCAGGTAAAGGACCTGGATTGTCTTCGATTTTCTTAAAACCTGGTGGTTCCTTAAGTGTACATACACTTGCACTTTCAGGACATAGTTTGTCAGTGTGACCATTCAACACACTGGTAACAGGTGCACTCTGTTTAATTTCTGGAACATTCTCCTTTTGAGCTTTATTTATTACAGTATCAATACCCAGAGATGAAGAAGAATTTTGCTTTTCACCTATTTTTTTCTTTTTACCAACTTTACATACAGTCTGCGCTGAAGTTGTTAACAAAGAAGAAATATCTAGCATTGTCGGTGCACTTCTGAACTCTTGAGTTGTCAAACCACTGCCATCATCCTCTTCCTCATTATCAGACTTTAAAGCGGCTTTAGTTTTTGCTTTTGCACCGTGAGTTGACAAAGATTTTTTAGCATTCTGATTAGAACTGTTGCCACTGGAATGGACAGTTTTAAAACTACTTTTGCCGGAAACGGCGATCCACGCAGATCCAGACGTAGTCGTAGACGGTTTTTGTTGCTTAATTTTAGACACAAGGGCAGGAAAATCCTCCTCCTGAAAAGTGGTATTCTTCTTGGCTGTAGAAGTATAAGTTGGAGTAAGGCCTGTGGTACTGGCTTGTGCTGTAGCAGATAAGCTTGGAAATTCCTCTTCATTTAAGCGAACAGGAACTAAATGATTAGAACTGCAAAAAGAAAGAAATTGAATTATAGATAAGTGCGCGTCTGGAAAAATCTACACCAATCAGATTCCTTCCCAATGCACTAAATGATTGATCATATCTCATCAAATCCCATAAGAATTAAATAACTTGAAGGATTTCAAATGTAGTGTTGCATCTGGTGTTTGTCTGTGGTTCATGGCTACAAAGGGGGAGTGCTGCAAATATCTAGATTATGGTTCATGCACTTTACAGTATACCTTGCAATGTAAGAAAAACTTGTAGTTTTAATAATTGAAGTCAAAATAGGTTATTGCACTTTAAAACATTAGAATTAAAGAGCTAACACTAAAAAGGCAGACAGAAAAACTTGAACAACATCTGACCTAACTGAAAACAGAAATTGTAATGCAAACAAAAAAAGAAAAAAAAAAAAAGTGAAAACTGATCCTTCTTCCCTTTTGCTCAGAAACTTTAGAAACCAAAACTTCGGGGCAGACAAACTACAAAAGGCACTCAGCCATAAGCTCAATGGTTGAAGTTTAAATCAGGTGCAGATACAGCTCATTAAATGATAGATGAAGCAAATGATAGTTAGACAGCCCTGGTGTTTCAGAAGAACAAAAGAAAACTAACTTCATAATTCACAGAATGGAATACAGATGAGGATTAATCTCAGCTTGAATGAGGTGAGGAAACAGAAGTTGGAAGATTGCAGAGTGTGAAACTAATAGAAGAATCGGCAGGGTTTATTCAATTAATGGTAAGGCCCTGGGTAGTGCTGTGGGAGAGACATGGGAGTCAGGTACGTAATTCTTTGAAATGTGCATCACAGGTAGACAGGGTGGTTAAGGCAGTGTTCAGATCTTTAAGTTGGCACATTATATTGAGGTTGTACAGAACATTGGTGAGGCCTCTTCTGGAGTAGTGCGCTGTTCTGGTCACTTTGCTATAGGATATTATTAAATCGGAGAGGATTCAGAAAAGATTTACCAGTATGTTGCCAGGAATGGGCAGTTTGAGTTATAAGGAGAGGCTGGATAGGTGGAGACATTTTTCACTGGAGCATAGGAGGTTGAAGGGTGACCTTATAAAGGTTTATAAAAAAATCATGAGGGGTACAGATAAGGTGAATAGCAGGGGTATTTTCCCTAGGGTGGGAGAGTTCAAAACTGGGGGGCATATTATTAGCGCAAGAGGGGAAAGATTTTTAAAAAAAAGACATGGGGCAACTTTTCTCTTTGTATATAAGGTGGCTCATGTGTGGAACGAACTGGGGGTTGGGGGGCAGTGAGTGGTGGATGCAGGTAGTTACAACATTTAAAATACTTTTGAATAAGACAATGAACAGGAAAAATTTGGAGGGATGTGGGCCAAGTGCTGGCAAGTGGAACTAGTTTAGTTTGGGCAAGTGGTTAGAGTGGACTAGTTGGGCCGAAGGGCTGGTTTCCATACCTTCTGATCCTTGATGGATTGTGACACAAAAAGAAGTAACCAGTAAATAAGCCTTAAAGTATTAAAAAAATTACCAGGAAGCACCCACAGCTGCAGCAGAGAAGAATTCAGAAACTTCCGAGGCCTCAAACATACTTCTAATTGTTCTCTACCAAGGGAAACAACTAAGATTTCATAACAAGTGTGTTCTGCAAGTAACCCTTAGAACTGGCATACATGGACAAACTCTTGTTAATTTAACCGTTACGCAGTGCTATTGTCACTGGACTAGTCACCGAAGCTGATACAACAAGGTGTAGAGCTGGATGAATGCAGCAGGCCAAGCAGCATCAGAGGATCAGGAAAGCCGACGTTTCGGGTCTAGACCCTTCTTCAGAAATGGGGGAGGGGAAGGGGTTTCTGAAATAAATGAGGGGGTGGGGTGGATAGAGCATGGTTAAAAGGAGAAGATAGGTGGAGGAGACAGACAGGTCAAAGAGGTGGGGATGGAGCCAGTAAAGGCGAGTGTAGGTGGGGATAGGTCAGTCCAGGGAGGACAGACAGGTCAAGGAGGCGGGATGAGGCTGGTAGGTCAGAGATGGGGGTGGGGCCTGAGGCAGGAGGAGTGGATAGGTGGGAGGAAGGACAGGTTAGGGAGGCGGGGACAAGCTGGGCTGGTTTTGGGATGCGGTCAGGGGCAGGGAGATTTTGAAGCTTGTGAAGTCCACATTGATACCATTGGGCTGCAGGGTTCCCAAGCAAAATATGGAGGTGCTGTTCCTGCAGCCTTCGGGTGGCATCATTGTGGCACTGCAGGAGGCCCAGGATGAACATGTCAAAGGAGTGGGAGGGGTAGTTGAAACGGCTCGCGACTGGGAGGTGCAGTTGTTTGTCGTGAACAGAGCGTAGGTGTTTCACAAAGCGGTCCCCAAGCCTCCACTTGGTTTCCCTGATGTAGAGGAGGCCACATCACCGAAGCTGTTGTACAGACATTGGATCAAATGCTAAGGCAAATGCTGAATTTTGATTTCAGTGAATAAATCTGGAATTTAAAAATAATTACAAATCCCATCCAGTTCAATAATGCTCTTTAGCGAAATAAGTCTGCTATCTTACCTGGTCTGGACTAAATGTGACTCCAGACCATCAACAATATCAATGATTCTTAACAGCCCTCTGAAGTGCAAGCCACTCAACTGAATGGAATTTAGGGATCGGCAACAAAAGGCTAGACTTGCCAGTGACATCCACAAAGCAAAGAAAATCAACTTCTTGTTCTGGAGTCAAAGCAAGTAGGCTATCAGGATACACTGTGGTCATTTCAGATCGATATGAGAAATTCACTCGGAGGTTGGTGAACCTATGAAATTCTCTTTTCACTGGAAGCCAAATCACTGATTTTTTAAAAAATTATTAATGGGATTAGGGTTTTGCTAGCTAGACCAGCATTTACTGCCTATCCCTAATTACTGCTGTTAACCTACAGGATTTGGGTATCTCAAATTTAAACTAAAATGAAGCCACCTTGGAATCTTCACAAAGCACTTGAATTTTTTTGTTGCCAGTGGCACAAAGAAAATGCATTTTTTGAAATATGTAACAACTACCATTCTATACCTTGGGTTAGACAGAGCAGTTGTGGCCACTGCTTGGAGATTCTCTTGTCTTGAACTTTTGACAGCTTCTTTGGTACCTTTAAGGCAAATTACATCCAATTTATTCATACCTTAACAGTGAGGCAGTAAACCTTAGTTACAAGAAATCCAACAATGGCTGTTGCTATGCTCTAATGGTTATAGTATACAATGTTACACAATACCATAAAGTCAGTATTCGTCCAGCACAATGTGGATAAATGCAACGCTATCCACTTCGTGGCTGCGGTGGGGTGGGAGAGGGGTGAAATACCATAGAGACCTATAAAACACAAACATGACTAGATAGGGTGAACAAAGGTTAGATGTTCCCAGGTGATCAGGAAGTCCAGAAACAGGGGTCAGTTTAAGAATATAGGGTAAACCATTTACAGCAGAGATAAGAAAAAATTCCTTCACCCAGATTAGGGTAAGCCTGTGGAATTCTCTAACTGCTTTCCATGGCAAAGTCAAAATACTGAATGCTTTCAAGGAGTTGGATCAGTTCTTAGGGCTGAAGGGATCAAAGGGTATGGGGACAAGGCAGGAAAAGGGTCCTGACTTGAATGAATAGCCATGATCATAATGAACAGCACAGCAGGCTTGAAAGGCTGAAAAGCCTCCCATTTTCTATGTTTCTTCAAATAATGCAGAAAACATTAAAAAGGGTTAATATTCAGATTTCCAGTAATCAATTGCGATATCGCATATGAACCTACATAAGCCAACAGCCCACCATGTTCAGGGGAATACATCAGAATGCATAGAAGACTGACTAACTAATATAAAAGAGGAAGTTGGGATAAAGGGGGCATTTTCAGGATAGCAACCTGCAATGGGAAATGTAGGGGAATGGGTGTGGGTGGGATGCTCTTTGGAGGGGTGGTGTGGACTTGTTGGCCCGAATGGCCTGTTTCCACACTGTAGGGATTCTATGATAACTAGCAGAGTACCACTGGGCTGGGGCTAAAATTATTTACAATAATATTAAGTATTTGGATAAGAGATGTGAATGTACCAAAGCCAATTTTGTGGATGAAGGAAATAGTTGGGAAAGCAAGTAGTGAGGATGAAGGTCTGCTGAGGGATTTTGTAAAGACTGTTTATTTTTCTATATTTTTAAATTGTGGGCAGTAATGAAGAAAGAATAGCTTCAAACACCAAAGATTGCCACATATTTCTATAGCAAGTAACTTGGAACTTGTTGCAAGCATAGTTTCAACTGCTGCTTGTTCAAGCAGTCTTTGAAGTGCTGTTTGTAGATGAACTAAAGCTGGATGGTTGTGAACAAACAGGCTGCAGATCAGCCTATATACACAAGGGAGCAGTTATGACGACATGACAAGCCATTGTCATCGCCCTTTCAGCTTGCCAGCAACTATGTGATGCATTCTCAGGTAGATTAACAGCCTGGGGTTTTAACAAGATACAGAGAAGCCTCTAGGCCTCTCAGCTCAGGAGAACCCTCTGCTATCTGAAGTAAAAGTATTTGAAGTCTGAAGAAAACCAGTTCACATTTCCTTCAACAGATGCTTTAAATTTTTAAAAACTCATGAGTCAAGAGACCTTTAAGATATGGATCAGTTCCTTTGTGCCTCCTGCAAGCCAGCAAAAGGCTCTAAAGAATGAAGACCGAGAAGCAGAAATTCTGACTAGCACCAGGATCAGAAAAATCATCTCAAAAACCCTGAAAAAGGAGCAGAAACTCAGCAGGTTTGGCAGCAACAGAGAGAAAGACAGACAACATTTTTTTTTGTGGGGTTGGTCCACAGAGCATTGTGTATGTAAAAATCGGATAAAGGAATTGGATTTTGAATTCAACAGTGAGACAGATTTTTAAATCATGGGTTGGGGGATAAGGCAGGAAAGTAATGTAGAGGATTATCAGATCAATCATCTCATTGAGTGGTGGAGCAGACTTGATAGGCGCAATAGCCTACTTCTGTTCCACATATAGTCAGAGTATTACAGCATGGGAACAGGCCTTTCATCTCAAACTGGTCCATGGTGCCCTCTCAGCTAGCTCTAATTGCCTGCATTTGGTCTATATCCCTCTAAACCCTTCTCATCCATGTACCTATTGAAATGTTTTTTTAAATGCTGCTATTGTACCTGCCTGAACCACTTTCTCCGGCAGCCCATTCCATATACACGCCAATCTCTGCGTGAAGCAGCTGCCCCTCAGATCCTCCTTAAATATATCTCCTCTCACCTTAAACCTATGCCCTTTAGTTTTCAATTCCCCATCCCTGAGGAAAACAGACTACATGCATTCGTCCTGTCTATGCCCCTCATGATTTTATACACTTCAATAAAGGTCACCCCTCATTCTCCTACGTTCCACGGAATAAAGTCCTATCCTGGCCAACCTCTCCCTATAACTTAGGGCCTGCTAGTTCTGGCAACGTCCTCATAAATCCTCTTTGCACACTTTCCAGTTTAACTATGTCTTTCCTATAACAGGGTGACCAGAACTGGACACAATATTCAAAGTGTGGCCTCACTGACAATTTACACAACTGTGACATGACGTCCTAACTCCTATACTGAATGCCTTCAAATGAAGGCCAGAATACTAAATACTGCCTTCTTCTCTCTGCCCACCTGTGACGATGCTCTTAACAAACTATGCACTTGTGCTACTAGGTTCCTCTGTTCCACAACACTCCTCAGGACCTTACTATTTACTGTACAAGTCCCATCTTGGTTTGACTTTCCTGAGTGCAACATCTCTCACTTATCTGTATTGAATGCATTTGCCAATCCTCAGAGCACTTCTCCATCCGATCAAGATTCCTCTAATTTTTGATAACCTTCTTCACTATCAGTGATACCTCCTAATTTTGTATCATCCACAAACTTACAAATCATGCCTTGTACATTCACATCCAGATCTTATGATCTTATTGATCTCAGAAAGGAGTTCTGCCATTTAAATTCTAAACTTGGAAATTTAATGCAATTCTCCAACATCCAATATCAGTTCACGTTATTTTTAAAATATTCCACTTCAGGAATTACACTGGATGAAAACAAACTGGTGTCCTCACCCCCAACAAGAGCACGACTAGTGTTACTCCAGTCACTGATGGGGTACCAAAAGATACAAATATGCAACAAAGCTCATCTCATTTTTAAAACTAGCTTCAGTTTGTAATTGTCTCAACAGCTTTCTTAATTTTCCTGTAACTGTCAACCAGCTCAAATACTATTCATCATTTAGGTTGCTATTACTTGTCATGATTACAGTTTTCACTATCAGAGTCAGTATTTGTTAATTTGCAAATCAGAAAATGGGGCTTCCAGACATATTGCAATCCTTGTAGATACACTCCTTTATTGAAAACCTACTCGACTATAAATTTAGGGCTGAAGCCACTGCAAGTAAATATACGACTAGCTCACGAGATGGAGACAGCAACTAAACACACCAATCTAAAGAGAAGCATTATATAGAAAGCCAATTTTTCTTGCTCTTCGGGAAAAAGCCCAAAATTTTGAAGTGACCCTTTTGTGGAGCATTAATTCGGAGTAACCCAGTCAGAACATAGTCTATTAATACATAGAGTAGACCTGCTAATAATATCCCAACCAATATAAGTTAATCCACAACTCCAAATTAAAGAAACTGGTGTCCTTTCCATGCCAAAGCAGTTTCATAAACAGGTACTTCATGATCTGCAAGTTAATCACCCTTTCAGCCATTTCAGAAACTTTCACTGTTTCACAACTTTGAACTTCACATGGCAAATGATTAAATATTTTACAGAAACATAAAAACCCATAAATTCCTGTTGTTTTTGGCCCATGGGACTTGGGCATTATTGGCTAGGCCAGTATTTATTGCCCATCCTTAACTGCCCTGGGGAAGGTGGTGAGTTGCCTTCATGAACTACTACATGGGGAGGCGATGGCCTGATGACGTTATTGCAATGCCATTAATCAGATATTCCAGGGACCGGAGTTTGAATTCCTTCATGGCGTATGATGGTTTTCATTTAATTCAAATTCTGAGTCCAATGATGACTGTTGATTGTTGGGGAAAACCCATCTGATTAATATCCTTTGGGGAAGGAAATAGCCATACTTACTCGGTCTTAAATGTAACTCCAGACCACAAAGCAACATAGCTGACTCTTAACTGCTATCTAACCCAATTAGGGACAGACAGCAAGTGCTCGCCAAGATTTGCCTAGTACCCAGTGACAGCGATGCAATGGTGATAAATTTCCATGATAGTTTGCGGCATTGGGAGAGGGGGACAAATTCCATGGCGTGCCACATCTTTGCTGGGCTTGTCCTCTTAAGTCGTATGGATCAAAGGTTTGGAATGCTGAAGGAGCCTAGGTGAGTTGAAGCACACATGGTAATTGGTGCAGGCTTTTGCCGCTGTGCGGGTGTCGGAGGAAAGTAATGAGAAGGTGGCAGATGGGGTGCTAATCAAGTGGGCTGCTCTGTCCCAGATGGTGTCAGGCTTGCTGAGTGCAGCTGGAACTGTACCCATCTGGACAAGTGGAAAATCTTCCATCACCATTCTCGCTTGTACTTTGCAGGTGTGGATGGGCTAGTTTTGGTTTTTGATTATATTTTCTTGGGGGAGCATCCAGCACGCATGGTAGTCAGAGAATTCAGAGCCCTGAAGGGGTCATTTTGGCAGGTTCTTGGAAATATCCAAATCACTAACATTTCCTTCAGGACAACCCCAGTTAACATCAGACTCACTAGCGGCGATAAAATCTGTATATGGTACTGCTTATTCAAAGTCAGAAATACATACATATCTCAAACTTCTTTTGCCCACGTCCTACAGTAAATAGGGACAAAACTAATACAAACCTGACATTTCATTGGATGTTCGAACCATATTTTTCACATTATAGGTATCATCCATCTCTCTTTCACTCTGGTTATTTTTACTATCATCGGTTTCTTTTTTCAAAGCAGCCTGCTTCTTTTCCTCTTGCCTTTGTGCTGCTATAGATGCACGAACAGCGGCGGCAACATCCCGATCTTCCTCCTCCCTAGAAAACAAGGTACCAGTTGGTTACAAAGCAGATGAATTAGTTATACAAAAAAAAACGTTGAGACACCCAACCAGCATCTTCACCTAGGCTTTTAGAATCTGCAGGTGATCGATAACAATGCAGCAACAATTGCATGCATCATTCTTGTTATTAAGACTTGATATTTTCTTTTCAGATCAAATAAATTTTATTACCAATCTTTTATTACCGATCCTTAAACTAATTAAGAAATTCAGGTTTCAATAGCTTTCATAAACATTTCTTCCAAACAGAAGAATCCATTCAAAATTGTTCACTAATTTTTTTTCAAATTATCCATGCTATGTGGATGTCACTGACCGTGTTAGCATTTACTAACCAACCAGAGTTGTGCTTGAGAAGGTGGTGTTGAGTTGCCTTCTTTAACCATTCCTGCCCATTTGTTATATACATAATGGCCATTAGGGAAGGAGTTCCAGGATTCTGGCACAGCAACATTGAAGCAATGGTAATATCTTTCCAAGTCAGGGTCTTAAGTGGCTTGGAAGGGAAGATGCAGATGGTGGTGTTTCCATGTATCTGCTACCCTTGGCCTTCCAGATGGCAGTGGTTTTGGGCTTGGGTTTGGAAGATGCTGTCTAAGGATCGCATCCAACATAGCAGAGCGGGGACAATCATTCAGACCACAGAGGTAGATACTGAACAGACAAATTGGCATCTGAAGTGTAGTTTCCACAGGAGGGAAAAAAAAATCCAGAAGTTACTTGATCAGAATTTAAAACTATGAGCAAAATTGATCTGGGGCAAGACAGTGTACACTGCTTAACAGATATTGTATGAATCAATACAAGGTTAGAGTCAGCATTTCATTGATTTGTATCATTTAATCAAGCAACGGAGTGAAGCAATGAACTTCTGCTGGACAATATACGAGTTTCGGAATGTAATGAAATGATGGTACAAATGTGTGTTATGATGTGACAGTAAAAGAAACAACACTCCCAATATCTCAAGATTAGTGCAAAAGTAAGAACTTGATATATATTTCACAACCGACAAGGAACGACTTGATGTGAACGTAGGAGGTACGGTTAGTAAGACTGCAGATGACACTAAAATTGGTGGTGTAGTGGACAGTGAAGACAGTTACTTCAGAGTACAAAGGGATCTTGATCAGATGGACCAATGGACTGAGGAGTGGCAGATGGAGTTTAATTTAGATAAATGTGACATGCAGCATTTTGGAAAGGCAAGTCAGGACAGGTCTTGTACATTTAGGGAAGTGTTGCTGAACAAGAGAGACCTTGAAGTGCAGGTTCACAGTTCCTTGTAAGTAGAGTCACAAGTAGACAGGATAGTGAAGGCATTTGGTATGCTTGCTTTAAGTGGTCACTGCACTGAGTATAGGAATTGGGCTATATAGGACATTGATTTGGTCACTTTTGGAGTACTGCATGCAATTCTGGTCTCCCTCCTGTAGGAAGGATGTTGTTACACTTGAAAGGGTTCAGAAAAGATTTAGGAGGATGTTGCCAGAGTTGGAGGGTTTGAGCTATAGGGAGAGGCTGAACAGGGTGGGGTTACTTTCCCTGGAGCGCCGGAAGCTCAGGGGTGACCTTGTAGAGGTTTATAAGATCATGAGGGGCAGGGATAAGGTAAATAGGCAAGGTCTTTTCCCTGGGGTGGGGAAGTCCAAAACTAGAGAGCATAGTATAACAGGGACCGAAGAGGCACCTTTTTCCATGCAGAGGGTGGTGCATGCATGGAATGAGCTTCCAGAAGAAGTGGAGGAGGCTGGTATGATAACATTTAAAAGGCATCTGGATGCGTATATGAATAGGAGAAGTTGAGGGATATGGGCCAAATGCTGGCAAATGGGACTAGATTTATATAGGATATCTGGTCGGCATGGATGAGATGGACGGAGGGTCTGTTTTTGTGCTGTATATCTCTATGACTAATGGTTGTCACTGATTGTTTCACCAAAACGCAATACAAAGGCAAGACTTACACAATTAAAAAGTAGGGCCTTGGGCAACGTTGCAGAACAGAGACACCTAGGGGTTAAGGTACATAATACTTTGAAGTTTGCATCACATAGATAGGATGGTTAAAAAGGCATTTTGCATGCTTGCCTTCATTGCTCAGACCTTGGAGTATAGGAGTTGGGACGTTATGTTGAGATTGTATGAGACATTAGTGAGGCCTCTGAAGTACAGGGTCCAGTTCCGGTCGCCCTGTTACAGGAAGGATATTATTACGCTGAAGGTGGCTCAGAAGAGACTTACCAGGATGTTGCCAGGAATGGAGGGTTTGAGTTATAAGGAAAGGCTGGATAGGATAGTTTTCCCACTGGAGCATAGGAGGTCAACAGATGACCTTCGAGGTCTTTAAAATCATGAGGGGTACAGATAAGGGGAAATGGGAGGTGTCTTTTCCCTAGGGTGGAGGATTTCCAGACTAGGGGCATATCTTTAAAGGTGAGAAGAGAAAGAATCAAGAAATAGGATGCTGTACATTTTTTTTTCAGAAAAAAAAAGTGGTTCATGTGTGGAATGAACAAAGAACAATACAGCCCTGCACCAACACATTTTGTCATTCCACACTAAAACTGTATTCACCGACAGGATCCGTATCCTCCTATTCCCTTCCTATTCATGTATTTGTCCAGGTGCTTTTTGAATGCTGCTATTGCGTCTGCTTTCATCACCTCCCCTGGTAGTATGTTCCAGGCGCTCGCCATCCTTTGTGTGGAAAAACTTGCCTCGCACATCTCTTAACCCTTCCAACACCTTGAACCTGTGTGCCCTAGTAATGGACTCCTCCACCCTGGGAAAAAGCCTCATACTTTCCACTCTATCCATGCCATTTATAACCTTATAAACTTCTATCACATCGTTCCACAACATTCTGCGTTCCAGTGAAAACATACCCAGTCTATTCAACCTTTTCAGCTAAAATCCCCCATACCAAGCAACAACCTAGCAAACTTTTTCTCTACCTTTTCCAAAGCATCCACATCCATCTGCTAGTGTGGTGACCAGAACTTTACAATATTCCAAGTGTGCCCGAACTAAAGTTCTATAAAGCTGCAGCGTAACTTACCTATCCTTATACTCAATGCCCCCTCCAATGGAGGCAAACATACCATCGGCCTTTTTTTCTTACTAATCTAGGTACATTGCCACCTTCAGTGATGTGTGGACCTGCAAACGCAGATTCCTCTGCACATCGATACTCCTAAGGGTTCTGCCTAAGGGTTCACTGCACAATTTCCATTGTACTTGACCTTCCAAAATGCATCACCTCATCTTTATCTTCTAGAGGAAGTGGTGGATGCAAGTACAGTTACAACATTTGAAAGACATTTAGATAAGTACATTAATAAGAAATGTTTCAAGGGGTCTGCAACACGCACAGATAAGTGGAACTAGTTTAGTTTGGGATTATGGTCGGCACAGACTGGGAGGGTTTCCATGCTGTATGACTGTTAGCTTCACTGCAGTCCACATCTCTTTTTGGGTAGAGGTGACCTGTACAAGAGGGACGGGTTGCACTTGAAGCACAGGGGGTCCACTATCCTCCCAGGAAGATTTGCTAGGCCTACTTGTGGGGTGGGGGGGGGGGGGGCACCCCGAGTAAAGCTGGGACCATTGAGAAGTCAGGTGAAAATATTTTAGCTATCAAGAGCAAGTTTACTATTCAGGATAGCCAGGGGCACAGTAAAGGGAGGAAAAAAGCTTCTGGTTCAAATGGCATTTATTTCAACACACGAGGCCTGACTGGTAAGGCAGATGAGCTCAGAGGATGGATCGGCTCTGGGGACTGGGATATTATAGCCATAACAGAAACACTGCTGAGAGAAGGGCAGGATTGGCAGCTCAATGTTCCAGGATACAGAAGCTACAGACATGATAGAAGTACAAGTAAGCGAGGAGGGAGGAGCTGCTCTTTTGATAAGGGAGGACATAACAGTGCTTAGAAAGGACATTCTTAAGGAGTCATCAAATGAGGCTATATGGTTAGAACCTGGAAACAAGAAGCCGGTGGTCACTGTCAGGACTGCATTATAGAGCCCCAAATAGCCACCGGGTACTAGAGGAGCAGACATGTAGACAGACTGCAGATACCTGTAGGAATAATAGGGTAGTATTGGTTGGAGATTTTAATTTCCCCTGAATTGACTGGGTCACCCAGAATGTGAAATTCCCTGGACGGGGTGAAATTTGTCAAACGTGCCCAAGGAAATTTCTTAAATCAGTAGGTACAAGAACCTACTTGGGAGGGTGCAACACTGGACCTCCACTTAGGGAACAAGGTCAGGCAAGTGACTGAAGCGTGCGACAGTGACCATAGCACTCTTAACTATGTTAAGACTACGGTAAGCGATAGGACGGGTCCACAGGTTAAGGTGCTGAACTGGAGCCGGGCCAATTTTGAGGCCATTAGGGAGGATCTAGCAGAGGTCGACTGGGTGAGTCTATTTGAAGGAAAAGGAATGACTGGCAAATGGGAGGCTTTTAAAAGTGTGATATCAAGAGTCCAGAGACAGTATGTCCCTGTGAGGGTAAAGGGAAAAGCTGGCAGGTTTAGGGATCCCTGGCTGACGAGGGATATTGAGGCTCTGGTAAGGAAAAAGGCAGCGTACATTGGGTTTAAGCTATTGGGCTCAAGTGAATCACTACATGACTATAAGAAGTGCAAGAGGGCAATCAGAAGAGCAAAAGGAGGGATGGGATAGATCTGGCAGATAAAGGTTAAAGATAATCCCAAAAGGTCTATAGCTATAGTAACAGTAAAAGGGTGGGTGGGGGGGGGGGGGGGGGGGGGGGGTAGGTAGAGGCGGAATAGGTCCCCTCAAAGATCAGCATGGCCGCCTGTATGTGGAGCCACAGGATCAACCAACATTTGGATAGTCAGCATGGGTTTGTGCGCACTAAGTCATGCCTGACAAATCTTTTACAGTTTTTTGAAGAGGTAGCCAAGAGGATGGGTCAGGGTAGGGCAGTGGATGTTGTCTGTATGGATTTTAGTAAGGCCTTTGACAAGGTCCCGCACGGCAGGCTAGTCACGTAAGTTAGGTTGCATGGGATCCAGGGACAGCTAGCTAATTGGATTCAAAATTCAACGGTAGGAAGCAGAGGGTGATGGTTGAAGATGGTTTCTCGGACTGGAGGCCTGTGGCTAGTGGTGTGCCACAGGAGTCAGTGCTGGGACCTTTGTTATTTATATAAATGATCTCGATGAGAATGTACAAGGCATGATTTGTAAGTTTGCAGATGATACTAAATTCAGAGGTACTGTTGATAGCCAAGGTGGTCATCAAAAATTAGAGGAATTGAAGTGGGCTGAAGATTGGCAAATGCAATTCAATACAGATAAGTGAGAGATGTTGCAGTCAGGAAAGTCAAACCAAGGTAGGACTTGTAAATGGTAAGGTCCTGAGGAGTGTTGTGGAACAGAGGGACCTAGGGGTACAAGTGCATAGTTTAAGAGCGTTGTCACAGGTGGGCAGAGTGAAGGCGGCAGCATTTAGTATTCTGGCCTTCATTTGAAGGCATTCAGTATAGGAGTTAGGACGTCATGTCACAGTTGTATAAATTGTCAGTGAGGCCACACTTTGAATATTGTGTCCAGTTCTGGTCACCCTGTTATAGGAAAGACATAGTTAAACTGGAAAGTGTGCAAAGAGGATTTATGAGGACGTTGCCAGAACTAGCAGGCCTAAGTTATAGGGAGAGGTTGGCCAGAATAGGACTTTATTCCATGGAACGTAGGAGAATGAGGGGTGACCTTATTGAGGTGTAAAAAAAATCATGAGGGGCATAGACAGGATGAATGCATGTAGTCTGTTTTCCTCAGGGATGGGGAATTGAAACTAGAGGGCATAGATTTTTAAGGTGAGGGGGGATAGATTTAAGAAGGACTTGAGGGGCAATTTCTTCACGCAGAGAGTGGTGTATAAGGAATGGGCTGCCAGACAAAGTGGTTGAGGCAGGTACAATAGCAGCATTTAAAAATCATTTCAATAGGTACATGGATGAGAAGGGTAAAGAGGGATATGGACCGAATGCAGGCAATTGGAGCTAGCTGAGAGGGCACCATGGTCAGCATGGACCAGTTTGGGTTGAAGGGCCTGTTTCCATGCTATATTATTCTGTGACTATGTTCTTGGAGACAGAATTCCAGGATTTTGACCCAGAGACAGTGAAGGAGAAGTCAGGATGTTGTGTGTCTTGGAGGGGAACATGCAGGTGGTGGTGTTCCCATGTATTTGCTGCCCTTTTCGTTCTAGATAGAAGTGGCTGTGGCTTTAGAGGGTGCTGTCTTAGCATCTTTGGTGAACTCTGCAGTGTATCTTGTAGATGGCACACACTGCTGTTACTGAGCATAGGTGGTACTTAATGCAGCAACACTTTGAAACGACAACAATAAATTGTACATTTACTCAGACCTTCATGAATGAAGGAATGTTAATCAGAGATGGTTTCTAAGTATTCTACATACCGGGTGTACTTCCATCTGCCTCTGCGGTTTTGTCCTCCACAGTTTTGGCCTCCCCTTCTATTAAATCTATCCACTTCTTCATAATCATCTCCACTTACCATGCCTGCAGTAAAATGCAAAATGTAATTGTTGCTACCCACAATTCAAAATCCTTGAGATATATTATTTGCAAGCATAATTCTATAATTTGAAAAGCAATACTTCATCACGAAATAGACTGTTACATGAGGGTAATGGCCTAAAAAAACCCAGAACAGGTCAACTTGCACTGAGTGCCATGGATTTTGAGTTTTTAACTGCCCCATTTTGGCAGGTGCAGACTGTATTTCTGGCAATGTTTATTAATATACAGATGTCAATGGGGTATTCTAGGATCTCAAGCTTTGGGTTCAACAGTCTCCTTAATCAATAAAATCTTGGAACAGAGAAAGAAACAGGCCATAATGGCAGGAAGAAGTGGGGTGACTTATAGAAAAATTATGTATTAAAAAGCAACAGGACTCCATTTGAGGACAGGAAAAGAATTGACAACTAAAATCTAAAAGCCTTCACAGTTGCAATTTACTGCCAACAGAACTCCAGCTTCATCTGCTCCCTTTTTGAGCCTCCAAGGGCCAGTAGCTTCTCAGAACCATAAATTACATCACTAGACAGGATTTCTGTAACAAATTACCAGCCTTTAAATAGGTGTAATGAGATTCATCTATATTAGTGGTACAAATCCAGAAATTCATGATGCACAATGAGGGTCAGTTCATTTTTTGTTTCCAATTTTGAGGTTTATGGTGGACCACTGGAAATTGTCCAGCAATTTGTGGAGAACCAGAAGTTTTTGGACTATGTCTGGATTAGGAGGAGTTTAGCTATTGACGCTACAGCTTGAAGTTTTGAAATCTTCCTGCCTATTCTTCAGTTGTCAGCTATCGAAACATCAGAAAATAGAATCGCAGTTATGAGAATTAAAGTATTCTCCGGGGGCTAACTGAAACTATTTGCATGCAGTGTCCTCAGAAAGAAGCAAGATATAATCCAATATGCCAGAGGTGTTATGGACCACAGAGCCTACTTGAGAAAATTGGCTAGTTACACATCACTTATTTTTTAACCCCTCTTTATTTGTCCCTTAACTGTGTCTGTCAATCTACCAATCAAGAATGGGGGGGCTAGAATTGAGGACGATAGGGGTTAAACCACAGAAATTAGGTTACCTTGTGGTTTAACTACGTTCTGCTAAAGATGCATCATTAATAAATTGTTAAATCTTTTGTCTATGTTGGCAACTGGTACTGATTATTCAAAGTCTGCTTACGAAATACTGGGGTTGACTTTGATGGTCGTTGAGTATTTTAATTTTACTTGGTTGCGAGTACAGGAATATAGAGGCTGATTTGATTTGGCTGTTTGTGTCGTAACAACTGCCTCATTCTCATCATGAGACAGCTAAGAACATCTATTCATGAAAGAGTGTGTATATATTAGACAGAGATAGTAAGAACTGCAGATGCTGGAGAATCTGAGATAACAAGGTGTAGAGCTGGATGAACACAGCAGGCCAAGCAGCATCATAGGAGCAGGAAGGCTGATGTTTCAGGTCTAGACCCTTCTTCAGAAATCTCACACTCACACACACACACACACTTTTTTTTTTAAGCAGTAAACTGCAAAATTTCAGATAGACGGAAACAAGAAAAGGGCTGAGGAGGCTTTGTTCTATAAAATGGTTTCCAAATATAAACTGAGGGCATTAATGATGAATCTACATGCACTTTTTATACCGCAGTTGGGCAAGCTGAGGTTGGGAGTACTTTGTATTCTTTCATGCATTCCATTACAAAAAAAAAAATCACTGAGGCATGGAAAGGTGTAAAGCAGATTAATTTCTGATTTTCACCCAAGAGAAAGGATGAAATCATGGTACACAAAGAAAGATTTGCACTAAACACAGAGACAAATTTAAGTGGAGACTTAACATTAAAAAATTCTGAAATTATGATGAGTGGAGAAAATTTCCATCGCAGCCAAATTGACAAATCAACACAGCTGACTTTTAGAAGAAAATTAGAAGGAATTTTTCCACATACTGATTTCTTCCACCCAGTTTATCGGAATATGAAGAACACTAAAGCACTTTGTAACAAATTACTCTTAAAACCACTCAATGCCACTTGGGAAATAATTTTAGAAAGATGTTGATGGGTACAAGAAAAGAGCAGAAAAAAATGAGTCAGACGTGTTGAACCTGCGATTAACACAAATGACTTAGATCCCCTTCACCGGTCTCAGAGTTTCTCCAATGGTCTTAATTTCTTGTGTGCTTCAATTCCTTTCTTAGGCTTAAAATGCAACTGTCAATCTTTAAAGGATAACAAGAGGTGAGAAAACTTAATTGTTTTACAAACAGGATGACCCCATGCTTCTCATTTGGCTGTAAACTGCATTCCTGATGCATAAAGTGTTATTAAAGCACAAGATACAATTAGTACTGAAACCAGCATAACTTTTACCTTCATTCCGTCTTTGGTGCCGAGGAACATAGTTAAATTGGAGATCTATCTGTCTATTCTGTCGGGCCTCTGCTCTGCTTTTGCTATGAAAGGTAGCTTTATGTGCTTTGTAATCAATCTCTGAGCGAAAAGCATGAGTAAACTGCTCAGTGTTACAACGCCCTTCCTCACACAGATAGTGCTTCTCACGGAAATGATCGCGAAGATAATCATAATCACTACAACAAAAGAAATTAAAAATTTTAGTTAATTTTCCAATAGTCAAGTGTTGAACAGTTTAGAGCATTATCGTATAAATCAGAAGTGTCCCAGAATTGTTCAGAGTGGTAATAGCAAAGCATTCTATAATTGGCCTCCTGGAAAATGGAACGTGGGGACGAAAAAATAGAACACCCACAGTTTCCGCCATCAGTTGTCCAGAGGCTTTAACTGGAGCTTCCTCAATTAAAGGACAGGATTGAATTCATGACGCCACCCCAATTCTTTCCCTCCCCAACACTTTACTATGAGACTTCAATAAAAAAAAAGGGAGAAAATTACAAATAAAAAGGAAAATTTTTAACTTCAAGGTTTGAAGTGGAATGAAATTTGTGACCACAAATGACGAATAGCAGCAGACTCAGTCATGATACGTTACTTTTGATTACAATGGCTCTGTAATTTAGAAGTGAACATGAAGGGTGTCAGTTTGATATGCTTTATTTGATTTTCGATACTACAATGGCTGTTGTCAAAGTGCAACCAAAGCCTTTCTCTACTCACCTATAATATTCTTGAGCACCATCAGAATCACAGAAGTGACAGAAATAATGGTCCCTTCTCAAATGTTTCAACAGTTCATCATTATCCAGGTAGCGGTCATCACAGAACTTGCACAAAGGATGCCCACGATGTGAAGTATCATCTGGGTCACCATGCATTCGATGGCGTGCAAGATCTTTCCGATTATACCATTTGCGTTCATAGGTAAAAATCTAAAGAGAAAAAAATTTATGAAATCTTAATCACAATGGTCTAATATTGTTCTGTATTGCAGCAAATAAAGGCCCTTATTTAGTAACTGCTACAACAGTGAGGCAAAGTGAAACAACAATAATCTGGAGATGTCAGGAAAATTGTTCCTGAGCCAATGATCTTTCATACTCAAAACAATTTATCAGACAGCCCACAGCACCCATGTACCTCAATAGTGGGACAAGTGCATAAGGAGTTAAAAAAGCTAAATACGAGATGCATTATTTAAGGGGATGTCAGGCAAGAATTGCCTCCACAGATAAGAAAGGTGATGAAATGTGAAACCATTCACAAATGTTTTGAGTGTATGAAATATACTGAACTTACGAAGGCAATATAATCATTGACAAACTTTATAGAAGTGTTTAAAAGGGCAATTAACTATAGTGACAGGGTAATTCGAAGAAATTGAGAAGGGGTATATACAGAGTTAGAATCATACAGTACATCTACAGTAGAGAGAAAGGTCCTTTGGCACATTGCATCCATGCTAGTCAAAAACATGACACCTATTCTAATCCCATTTTCTAGCACTTGATCCATAACCTGTATGCCTTGGCATCACAAATGCATATCTAAATACTCAAGTGTTAGATTTTCTGCCTCTGCTACCATTACAATGCCAGATTCATATCACCTGAGTGAAAACGTTTTCCTCACTGTGCCTCTAAAGCTTCTGTGCTTTACCTTAAATCTAAGGCCCCTTGCCACTGACCCCTCCAACAATGGAAACATTTCTTCCCGTCTACCCTAACTAGGTCCCTCACAATTTTATTCATCTCAATTATGACCCCTTTCAATCTCCTCTGCTCCAAGGGAAACAAACCCATCCTGCCCCATCTCTCTTCAGAACTGTAACTCTCCAGCCCAGGCAACATCCTGGTAAATCTCCTCAGCATTCTCTCTAGTGCTATTGCTTCCCTCCCATCCTTGGATTCCAGAACAGCACACAATACTCTAGTTGTGGCCAAATCAATGTTTTGCACAGTTCCAGCATAACTCCACTGCTCTTAAACTCTGTGCCTCATCTAATAAAGGCAAGTCTAGCATTGCCTTCCGAATCACTTTATGCACCTGCCCTGATACCTCAAGGGAACTGTGAACATGCACACCAAGGTCAGAAACCTCGGTGCTGCCAAGGGTCCCACTGCTCATTATGTATTCCCTTTTATCATTTGTCCTGCCCAAGTGCACCATCTTGGATTTTCTGAATTTAATTTCATTGTCACTGAAGATAACATTGAGTCCAGTGATCCTCTTTCTGACCGGTTTTGTTTCCTCTCCACAGATGCTGTCAGACTTGAAGCAATTTCTGGTTTTGCATGTTTCAGATCTCCAATATCTGCAAATATTTGTTTTAATCAAAATAAATTTTGGAGCTAGCTTCCACCAAATGATACTTTTTGTTTTAAGTTTCTTGCATTTTGCAGATTTATGGGTCCTCCTTTGTTTGTCATTTATACAAGAGATTTGTTTGAGAATATAGAAGGCATGGTTAGTAAATCAGTGGACAACACCAAAATTGATGGCATGGTAGACAGTAAGGTTTGCTAAGATTACAAACAGATCTTGATCAAATGGCTGAAAAACATCAGATGGAGTTCAGTCTGGATAAATGCAAGGTATTGCACTTTGGTACAACAAACAGGGGTAGGACTTATACAATTAATCGTAGAGCCTTGGGTAGTATTGTAGAACAGGGGGACCTTGGGGTTCAGGTACATAATTCTTCGAAGTTTGCATCACATATAGTCAGGGTGGTTAAGAAGGTATTTAGCACGCTTGCCTTCATCACTCAGTCCCTTGAGTTGGGAAGTCACATTAAGGTTGCACAGGACATTGGTGAGACCTTTTCTGTGTCCAGTTCTAGTCACCCAGTTATAGGGAGGATATTATGAACCTGAGATTTACCAAGATGTTACTGGGTATAGAAGGCTTGACTTATCAAGAAAGGCTGGAACTTTTTTCACTGGAGGATAGCAAGTTGAGAGGTGACGTTATAGAACTTTATAAAATCATGAGGGGTACAGATAGGGTTAATGGGCTTTTCCCTACAATGGGGAATTTCAAGACTTAGGGGGCACATATTTAAACAGAGGTTTTAAAAAAGACATGAGGGGCAATTTTTTTTTTTTTTTTTAAAAAACACAGAGGCTGATTCATATGTGGAATGAATTTCCTGAGGAAGTGGTAGATGTGGGTACAATTACAATGTTTAAAAGACATTTGGATAAGTAAACGAAAAGGAAAGGTTTGGAGGGTTACGGGCCAGGAGCATGCAGGTGGGACTAGTTTAGTTTACGATTACGTTCAACAAGGACTTGTTGGTCCGAAGGGTCTATTTCTGTGCTGCATGACTACGAAGATGAATATAATTTAGCAAATTTTTACAACAATTAGGAGAAACAACAAAAATATTTTATTCTGTAATTTTGGATAGTATGATACTCAAGTACCATTTATTACTGAAAAATAAAGTATGTCACATTTCAAAAGCTCAAACGTAGCGATGAATATTATAAAGTCTGCTATACCCCAGATCTGCAAGCTGGCTAAGACAGAACTTTTAAAAATATTAATTTGCAAATTGATCTGTTAAATAAAATACACACATCGAAATACGCAGAGACAAATCTACACAATTGATTAATATCACTAGAGAACTAATTTCTCAAGAGTCAAGTAACTTACCTGGAGGTGTCTTACACAAAGCTTACAGCTGAACATCTCGTGCTGCTTCCGCATGTGATGTTCTAGGTCTTCAAAAGTATTAAATGGTCTTGACTCAGAACACACAGGGCAGTCATGCTGCAGAAGCTTCCTAATGAAAATTACAAAAAATTCAAAGTTATCAAAAAGGCTGCAAGGGTGTTTGCAACTTAGACTTTTTCTGTTTCCTGAACTGGGTACTCAAATTCACCATTCTGTTGGAGAACTAAACAATAGTAAGGCCTACCTAGAATTTTAGAATTCTCTGCACAAAAACGCAACTGCGTAGGACCTTCGTTCATTCAAGGCAGTACATAAATTGCGAGCAGACAGGGGAGTTGATAGTCTATTGGTATTAGATTATTAATCCAGAGACCCAGGTAATATTCTTGGAACCTGGATTCGAATCCTACACATGGTGGAATTTGGATTCAATAAACATCTGGAAATTAGAGTCTAGTGATGACCTCAAGACGGCTGGCAATTGTTGAAAAAACCATCGGCTTACTAACGTCCTTTAGCGAAGGGAAGTGCTGTTCTTACCTGATCTGGCCTACATGTGACTCCAGACCCACAGCAATGTGGCTAACTCTTAACTACACTGAGTAATAAGGGATGGGCAATAAATGTTGGCCTGGCCAGCAACACCCACATTCCTGAATGAATAAAACAAAATCCCACAAAACATATACTCAATTTTGAGATTAAAAACAGAAACTGAAGAAACTTATCAGGTCTGTCAGCAGCCATGGAGAGAAAGTTAACATGTCAGTCTGATGTAACTTCTTCAGAACTGAAAGGAGATAGAAAATGGCAATTTTTAAAAAAAATGCTGTTTTCAGAGTGGGAGGTGCAGAAAGTGGTAAAAAGAGGGATCACTAATGATGATAAAGGAGATAGAGATGGGATGGAACATCCACGACAAAGTGGTACCTTTAAACTGTGTGGCCACACAGCCACTCAGAGGTTCTGCACACAGCCAAATGAACTGACATACTGACTTCAAGTCACTGTCACACACAGACCTTAGTGGTCTGCACATGAAAACAATAAATCAGAGCAAGTATCGACTTTATAGCGAATTCCCACAATTATTGCAACTACACTTCCTCAATCTGCTTCATACAAGGATTTCACTCCATTCTTCCAGGTTTCCCATAACCCCATTACTTCTATTCCTATAATGCCACCTTGTATCTTGCCTCCAATATGTCCTCCTTGATTCTCAACCAGGGTTGACATAGCTCCTTGACAATGTCCAATCCAATTCTGCATATCTACCCTCACCCCTTACTTTGTTAAGTGAAGTCACACAGTACCAGCTTATAGTCCAACAGGAACAAAAACAAAGTTGCTGGAAAAACTCAGCAGGTCTGGCAGCATCTATGGAGGAGGAAACAGTTAACGTTTCGGGTCTGGTGACCCTTCCTCAGAACTCCGGAGCTTCCGGAGCACTCCGAAAGTTTGTGATTTTAAATAAACCTGTTGGTCTATAAGCTGGTGTTGTGCGACTTCTGACTTTGTCCACCCTAGTCCAACACCGGCACCTCCATATCTTTGTTAAAGATTGATGGGGTTCCCCTTGTCCTCATTTTCCATTCTGCCAGTCCCACATTCACAGAATCATTTCCCAACCTTTCTTCATAATTCATACCCTCTATCCAAGTATCCTGGGCAAATCTCTTCTGTGCCATCTCTAGCATAAACACATCATCTCCAGAACTGCATGTAATACTCCAGTTGTGGGCTAACCAGCAATTTATATAGTCCCAGCAAAATTCCTTGCTCTTGTATCGTATGCCTTGGGTATCAAAGTGAAGTATCCCACATGCCTTCTTAGCCACCTTATCCACCTGCCCCGTTACCTTCAAGGATATATAGATAAGCACATTAAGGCCCCTGCAGTGTTCAGTACTTTCAGTGTCCTAACATTCATAACGTAATCCCTTGCCTCATTGGCCCTCCCAATTGCATTACCTCACCCCTTTCAAGATTGAATTTAACTTGCCACTCTTCTGCCAAGCTGGCCATTCTGTTAATACCCTCCTGCAGTTCATACCATCTTTCTCAATGTTTACCACCCCAGCAGCTATCCTATCATCCACAAACTTCTTGATCGCATCCCCGATACTCAAGTCCAAATCATTACAATACAACATAAACAGTAAGGGCCCTAGCACTGAGCCCAGCAACACGAGACAGACTTCTAGGACTCTCCTTTGCCACTCTTTGCTTTTAGCTCTCTGCCAGTTTCGAATCAAACATGCCACTTTGTCTTGGATCCTATCAGCTTTTATTTTCTTACCCAATACACCACAAGGGACCGTATGAAAAGCCTTGCTAAAGTCAATGTAGATCACGTGAAGCACATTAACTTAAAAAAAATCTGATCAAGTGCACGGAGTATAGAAGGAGGTCATGATGTGGCTGTACAGGACATCGGTTAGGCCAGTTTTGGAATTCTGCATTCAATTCTGGTTTCTCTGCTACAGGAAGGATGTTGCAAAACTTGAAAGGCTTCAAGATTTACAAGGATCTTGCTGAGGTTGGAGGGTTTGAGCTAGAGGGAGAGGCTGAATAAGCTGGGCCTATTTTGCCTGGAGCTGAGGGGTGACCTTACAGAGGTTTACAAAATCATGAGGGGCATAGATAGGGTAAATAGGCAAGGTCTTTTCCCCAGGGTGGGGGACTGCAGAACTAGAGGGCATAGGTTCAAGATGAGAGGGCAAAGATTTAAAAGGGACCTAAGGGGCAACATTTTCACAGAGGGTGGTTCATGTTTGAAATTAGCTGCCAGAGGAAGTGGTGGGGGCTGGTACAATTACAACATTTAAGAGGCATTGGATGGATATATGAATTAGGAAGGGTTGAGGGGGATATGGAACAAATGCTGGCAAATGGGACTAGATTTATTTAGAATATCTGGTCGATGTGGATAAGTTGGACTGAAGGGTCTGTTTCCATGCTGTACAGCTCTAACTAAATCTACTGGGATTTTTCTGCTTTAACATCAGATTTCTAGTATCCACCATATTATATATTTACAATATAATGCATATGCATATAATTTTCATAAAACAGTAAATCTGTTAAATATATTTAATTACGGAGCATTAAGATACATGATCACATTGCGATCGAGAATACAAAAGATGCAATAGAGGAAAGTGCCTTTTTCTTTTACAATTCTAGAAAAACCTGTAATGCAATTTACTTTATATTTAAACCTTAAACATCTTACACATAGTGTTTATCAGCTTTTCAAAAGAAGATTCACAGGATTTCATGGTAATAAAATCAATAAGATAAATAGTATTGACAAACCAAAATCATTTTAAGCTGTGAAAATTACTTTAGACATTGAGTTATCCTTTCTTATTCATTTAATCATCACCAAAAAGGCAGTTTAAGATTTTATGGTTAAGGTTGTTTCCTTATCAGTAAGGCAGATGGGAGTATATTGCACAATTTCCCTTACAGTTGAAGTATATTTAGAAAGGGTTAGCGTGGACTGTTGGGCCGAAGGGCCTGTTTACACACTGTAGGGATTCTGTGAAAATAATTCTCAAAATATGTAAGGAATGAGAATGGAAGCTGATGATATTCTGACAGCCAGCAAACATGTATTCAGAGGGCCTGGTGGGTCTTTAGCCACAAATAAGGGAAACCTAAATTGTAGCAAGATGACAAATGGTACGTTAGTGAAGGGGAAGGTTACTGTGGGTGCTAGCAATCTGAAACTAGCACAGAACACTGGATAAACTCAGCAGGTCCAGCAGCATTTGGGGAGAGAGAAACACAGTAAACATTTAGAGTCTGATACTGACTTTTTCAGAGCTGAGGCGACTCAATATCAGACTCAAACATTAATTCTTTCTCTCTCCATAGGTGCTGTCAGACATACTGAGTTCCGCCTGCATTGTGTTTATTTATTTGAAAGAGTTGGAGTACAGTGTAATTACATGGCTTTAGCCAGACCACATCTAGAATACTAGAGTCATAGAATCATACAGCATGGAAACAGACCCTTTCGTTCAATTAGCCCACACCGACCATGTTCGCAAACTACGTTAGTCCCACTTGCTTGCATTGGCCCATATCCCTCCAAACCTTTCCTATTCATGTAATTATCCAAACATCTTTTGAATGTTCTAAATGTACTTGCATCCACCGCTTCCTCTGGTAGTTCATCCCACACACACAAATGTAAAAAAGTTGACACTCATGTCCTTTTTAAAAACTTGCTCTCGCCTTAAAAATATGCCTCCTAGCTTTGAATTCCCTCATTCTAGAGAAAAGACCCTTGCTATTCACCTCTATGGTCACCCGTCAACATCCTAAACTCGTGCAAGAATTCCTGACAAAATACTGTTAAATCTTTACTGAACCCTCTCCAACTTAATATCCTTCCTATAGCAGGGTGACCAGAACAACACAGTAATCCAGAAGAGGCCTCACCAACATCCTGTACAACCTCAACATGACAATCCAACTCCTATACTCAAAGGACTCAGCAACAAAGGCAAGCAAGCTAAACACATTCTTAACCACCCTGTCTATACGTGACACAAACTTCAAAGAATAATGTACCTGGACCCCTAGGTCTCTTGTGTTTTATCATTCTTTCAACAAAATTATGAAGTTAATGCAGAATTTCTCAGGTTAAATCTTTAAAAAGGAAAAAAGCACACTATCCCCTTGATTCATAATTGCATCTTTAATCCTTATCTAAGGCAGCCTCAGAGGAAGTGCAACAAAGATTCTTTAGATTGACTCCTAAGATTAAGGGTTATCCGAGGTGGTAAGATAGTGCGGTACCGCACTATCTGGAGTTTGGAAGAATGGAGTGGCCAAAACAAAGATGCATTTAAGAGAAAGTTCAGCACAAGACAGAAGTGAAGAGAGAGTTCCAGCAACGCACTGGAAAAACATTCAGAGGATGCTAGAGTGCAGCATAAAAACTAACAAGGAATGGTTGGGCCGAATGGCCTGTTTCTATGCAAAATCTCACTGTTTACCATTATTACTCCACTGAATAGTTGAATCAAATAAGTTAGTGCTTGCCTAACAATGCATAGGGCATACTGTTCTATTCCTGACCACACAAGATTACCTGTACATCAAACAAAAACCCAGCCGGATTGAGATCATTATGACAATCAGCACAATTCCATCAATTCTTATTGGACATAAAAATTCCTCATGTATAGTTCTGCCTGACCCACTTAAGTTTCATCTATACATGATTCAGCATGCCTGGGAAGAAAACGTCCAAGTGTCTGAATGAGATAAAATTCCACATTTATTTTGATCTTCACACAGGGTTTTCTTTTTAACTACTCACTCCCAAAGTGGACGTCACTGGCGAGATCAGCTTTAATGCTGAATGATTGCCCAGAGGACAGTTCAGATTCAACCACATTGCTATGGGTCTGAACTCTCATGTAGGCCAGACAAGGTAAGATGGCAGTTTCCTTCCCTGAAGGATATTAATGAACCAGATGGGCGTTCCCAACAATCACAATGGTTTCATGCTCATCAGATGCCAGATTAGTACTGTACTCAAATTCCACCATTTCCCTTAGCAGATTTGAACCCCGTTCCCCCGAATGTTATCTGGATATCTGAAATAATAGTCTAACAATAATAGCAAGGAACGATAGTAAAAAGAATGTACATTTGTTTATTTTGAAATAAACAATCAAATACCTAAACTGGGCATGAATCCTCCCATCAGCAATATAAATATCAAATTTCTTTTCATGGTGGAACTGATGTGTTACTATTGCTGAAAATGGAGCAACTTTCTTCATAAATACCACCTGTATGGAACAAAGGGAAAACACTATTAAGTATTCATGCGATTAGCAAAATTTATTTTAATAGCCAAAAGGTTTTGCAATACAAATAATGTTGAGGTTAACAGTAATCATCATGACAATAAACTGAACAGCAATGTTTGACAATTAAAATCAGTAACCAGAATTGCTTTCCATGTTAGTCTACTCCTTCAGAAACTTTGCTACACAGGTCTCATTGAGTTAGTACTTTATTCAGGTGTTTCAAAAGGCACAAGGTTGGGATAATTACATCAATCGTCAGAAAAATACAGGGTCTGTCCAATCAGGCATAAATAATTTTCAGCAGAACAATTTCTCTGGCATTGAAAGATAACTTCTGCAAGTGTGGAATCTCATTCTTTCACAGTAATTATTTTAAGTTTCCATCTCTATTTTCCCCTGACTTCCACTCTAAAATTACTTTCTGCATATGGTTTGCGGTGAAATGGCAAATTCTAGGATGCACTTCCTGGTTCAGCATGCATAGTTCAATAAGGATTTTTTTTTCCAGATAGGTAAAAATATATTGTTGCTTTTCCTATTCACAAAACCCCCAGATACAGAGTGCTGCACCAATGCAGTCAGATCTGAGATAACAAGGTGTAGATCTGGATGAACACAGCAGGCTCCTATGA